AAAACTGTAAATATACATTTTGGTTTTCTCTTTAATTTCTGGGGGTTTTTTTGTTTCTAGCAAGCCCTTGCACTCTAGGCTGGCACCAATTTAACTAATGCATACAATTCATTTCCCATGTTACCAAGCAAACCCCTTAGAGCAAATAAACTAAGGCACTAAACTGGGACCTGGGGAAAGTGGAGTCTGTCTTTGGCTCGGACAAAGACTTTTTGTGTGACCTTGGGCAGCTCATGTTCTCTCCGCTCTGCATGGACACTGTTGGCAAACTCTTTCCCTATCTGGCTCAGTGCAGTCCTGAACTCTGTGAGGTACAAAGGTCTCCCTGATATGTTTACATACCATCCCAACAGGACTTCCCTGGATCATATGGCTCAGAATATCCTAGATGCAAGTTTAATTTGTACAGTGTAATAAAAGTGTGAGCAGTAAAAGAATTCAATACCTGCAATGTCGATTGCTCTGTTCTGCTAACCAAACCAACGTCTGGTTTTTGCAAAAGATGTACCTCTTCCTGTCAGAGAACTAAATTAGCCTCAAAGTTGGGACTCCTCTGAATTAAACACAAAGGCTTCTCTAGAGCTACTGTTTTTTTCCCCAAAAAACAAAGATGCTCACCGGCACTATTGTTGTGAGTTCATAAAAGATGGTGTCCAGGTCAGCATCACTAGCGCTTAAATCTTCACGGGCTACAATGGTTGCATTCACTTTTGTATCCTGAAACAAAGTTGCTGTGGTTATTTTCATTGTGAAATGGGCTGAAGACTTCTCCCTGCTAAGCCTTCCTTAGTCCCACAGCACTGGGTAACCCAGTGCCCTCTTCACTTCCATAAAACGCTTACCTCAGGAACAACTTCGGTGAGATTTGTTTGCTTAAACACTGGGCTGTTATCGTTCATGTTGAGAATGGTCACAAGAATTTCCAAATAATCGCTCTGTAGAAAGGGTAAAGCAAGAGAATCAAATACAAAAATAAGACTGTTAGAGGCTGATCCTGATTAGCAGAGTGACCAGAGGGGATGGCGTAAGGAGCACAGCTGGATGGGGCTGGGTTTGCAGCCAGCCCACGGTTTGGAGGGGGTTGTGGGTTTTGTTCCCACCCTCTCCCCATTTGCAGAGCCTTGGGCACTCTCTTTTTGACTGTAAAGAGGAGTGTGTACATCTGCAAAGAAAAGGACATCTTCTGATCCTGGTCTGTGGACTCAGAAGAGCAGAGGGAAGTACATGGTGTCCTGCAGTACCTTGTAACAAGGCTGAGTGTTTGGAAAAGCACTCACCTGCCCAGCAGTGTTCCGACAAATCAGGTACACCATCAGCAAGGTGTCTTTCTGTATGCAAAAACAAAAATCCAGCCATTGTGGAAACAAGCCAAAATGTACTAACTCTTTCTAAAGTAAATGAGACAAATACACACATTGTTGAATCAGAAATGCTGCTGGGCTTTATCTTGTTTTCAGGCATATCTAACTTTGTCTTTCTTTCCTTTACAGCCACCCATCAGTGCTAGGATCTTGTTTATGATGGAGTCAAAGCAGACCAATCTTCCAGCTTCTCTCCCTGTGATTCGTGTAACATATTGGCAGAGCTAATCGGGCATTTTCTCACACTTCAGGTGAATTCAAACAGATTTCTTTTTAAATTGAATGAAAGAGAAATGTACCACCCAACAAGTACAGTGTTGCCTGCAGGGTGTTATCTCTGCTGTTCTTCACTCAAATAAATGTGGGTTGTTACAGTAGGGGAAAGGAAGCTTAAGGACGCTTGTGGCTGTGTACAGAGTGCTGCAGGATGGTAAAATAATTTAGCAGCAACCTACTGAACACACTGACCTTTTATACTGCCTTTATGCTTCACACAAGGTCACTTTGCTGCTCAGAGCTGTGTTTTCTACAGGTGAACAGGGATCATTTTACTTGAGTCCTGTAGAGCTCTGGACACTGCAGTTGTCACATTTTTGGTTTTAAAGCCTCCCATCACTTCAATTCATACAGACTCATTGAAGGAAGGCATACCATGCATCCTCTCCTCCCTATATTCAGCTCGTGGAAGGGCTTACCTCCCAAGCAGTGAACTCAAACCCAACTGAAATAGGTTTATTTGTCAAAGTTATTTCCGAGATCCTTTAGAAACAGGTTATGAATTCCTGGAAGTCCAAGACCCCAGGCTGAAACTCATTGCATCCCAGCATTATCCATCTTACCCTTACAGCCTGCCAACTAAAGGCTTACCTCATAGTCCACGCTTCGGCTCAGCTGCAGCTCGGTCCCCTGTATAGTGAAAAAACTGACATCGGGGGAAGTAGGATCAATCATTACAGTGAAGCCTGGTTCCAAATGGATAGTGGTCACCACATAGCCAGGAGGGTTATTTTCATAAACGCTTGGTTTGCTATTATTGACAGAACATCCTGGAAAAACATACAAATAAGACATAAAATTGCCCAAGGATTCACATTGTGACAGAGTTGGGTGAGATGTGAGACCTGAGACCCCTCTGTTTACCATTGGAGAGAAGGTCATTGAAGAAAGCTGTCTCAGAGCAAGAGTGTAAACATCTCCCACCCATAATGGTGCAACCTGCTGCCATGGGGGTTATTCCTCTGTGGTCATGGACCTCCTGCAAGAGCTTACCTTGTTGCTGTGCTGAAACCTGTGTTATGAAGAGCAGCAGCAGGAGCACAGAAGTGAGGAGCCAGTGAGAAACAGCCATGGTGAGTTGCCAGTTGTTGAAAAAATTCCCGTTTCTGATTAAGATGATCCTTTTCTCTCCCTGTTTTTCCCAGTGCCGTCTTCTGTGTTCACTGTTTCAAAAAAGGTAAGAAACATTGGCTGGCTGGAGTGGATTGCTGCAGTTCAACCTTTGCCTCTTTGCCTCATTGGATGACTAATTGAAAGATATTTACCAGTCACGGAACATGATAACATATAAATTCCTGTTTCTATTTTGTTCCTGGGTCTTTCCTATCCTAAACTCTCTATGTAGGAGCAAGGATATATTTGAAGCATTTCAGAATTCAGAGCCAAGCCACCTGAGATGAGCATGAGCATGAAGGAGGACAAAGGTTGACATTCAGGAAGCTGTCTGTATATTCCAGCCTCTCCCAGTAGGGAGGAAGTGGGCAAAATTATGTTTCTGATGTGCCAGAGACAGGGTTTGTTTTGGTCAGATCACTTCCTGGGAAAAGGCATAATGATGCTACTATACCCTCTGTATTTTATTGATTTTAGCCAGGCTTTTTCTGCATGGCCCACATTCCCTTTTATAATCGGTTTGCTCTCCTGCCTATGACTTACAGTTTCTCTCTTCTAGTTGCGTTTGTCATGTTGTTCCTGAGAAATAGATTTAAAAAAATAATAATTAAAAAGCCAAATGTCTTATCTTTATAGCTGGAAACGGCAAAGGTTTCATGAAGGCAAAGCCATCTTGGTTGCTCTTTTGTATGGATGGTAAAGGAAAGAGCTAGGCCCTGAGTAAGTCCGTGGGTTGAGATAATCAGTTATGTTTCTGAGACAATCTTGTTATTCCCAACCACCCTACAGTACCCTCGCAAGGTGCGCAGAGTGGATCCAGAGACAGTGACTGGGCTCAGCTGCAGCCCAGTGATTACACAGAAACTTTGTAGGGACAATGTATGTCCCCTTCTACCAGTGACAGCAGTGGTTCTTTGTAGGGATGCTCAAGAGAATCTCCATCCAGGTTCCCATTATTTACATCTCAGCAGCTTCCTGAAGCCTCAATAGCATGCTATTCTGCTGTCTTGTCCTGTGTAAATTTTTCCAAGCCAAATATCGTGTGGCAAGGCATTTGGCCACTTAGGCAAAGAAAATCCATTGTTTTCAACTTACCCATTGGGTAGGAGGAGAAAGGGGACAGCTGTTCTCACTGCTCCTTTTAAATTCCCAGTTGATTTCACAAAGCTTTCAGCAGCTGCATTTTAGCCAGATGGCCATTAGTGGCTTGACAAAATACAGAGTGTAAACATTCCTTTCAGTAGTCATCCAAGAGATCAGTTTCCTAGCATAGATTTCCTATGGACCAAAATAAACGAATGCCAAGGTCCATGAGAACAGCGTTTCAGCATCATAGTGAAGGAATGGGTGCTTAGATGAACATTTGAGAGGGACTAGCATCTTTGCAGATGTCAGGTACATCATAAAAGGTGAAAACTGATGGTGCAGGATGGACTGAGCAGTTCTGGAGTGGGCACACATGATTGCAGCTGAAGATGCCTTATTTAAGCGCTGCTCTTCAAAATCTCTTGGTTTTACAAGAAAGGTGGAGTTGCTGTTCTATCAGGGGAGGGAATCTGCCAGGCAGCGTGGTGCAGGGATAAAATTCCCTCTAGTGGAGCTTTGTCTTTAGTGGCTATGGGAAAGCTGGGCCAGTAATACAGGGGCAGAATGGAGTGGAAACAATATTTAGAGTGAGTATCTATGTTGCGTAACTCTCAGTACATGTCTTTGCAATTAAATCTAGCACCTGGCTAAGTTTCTGCTAAAGGAGTCCCCGATGCTGGCCTCTTCATACAGCGGGATTGTGGGCAGTGCTGAGTCCCAGCTACGGAAGGTGCGTCTAGAGACTCCGGCTAGTCCCAACATGCCTCATGTCAGGGAAGCCTGGCAAAATGCTTCTCCTCCCACCTCTGCACTCCTAATGGTTCAACACCCAGTAACGGTACCACCCTTATTACTGTTTACCACAGCGTAGCCAAAGCACAGGCATAGCTAACAAATCTTCGACTTCCGAAGCAGGCAGCCAGGGGCTAACACAAAGTGGAAGTGATGTGCTTTATTCAGGCTCCACCTACTGACACCAGTTCACAGTGACATTTCACTCTTGATAATCTAAGAGGTTTTATTGGATTTTGGCTGCTTTCTAGAATACTTTTTTATTTGCTGATCTCGAGAGTTTTTCCTAAGCAAATTCAATAGCTTCCTTGTTTATTTTCAAGGCTATACACATGCAAAGCCATCTCCTTGGCTGTTTCTTTCCCTTCACCTTCAGTCAAAACTGCCTGTATCTTCCATCATGTCAGCAACCAGCTGCTTAGAGATGGGGCAAATGTACTGGCTGGTAATTGCAGCAGCTTCCCTGGCATCATCGTCCGAGTGGCTGTTGGGAGGGAAAAAAATGAGCAATAGTTTGTTATTCCTGGGGGCATGGACTGCAGAAAGTGTGACAAGGTCACCTTGTAAAATTCAAAGATGACTCCAAGGAGCAGATGTATGATAGAAGGACCCAGATCATGGCTGCCTGCAGCAGGCACCCCACAAATGCACAGGCAAGCTGATTAGTGTTACCTTTCCCATTTATTCTACACAACGTGGACAAGAGGTACTAAGGGCCAGCTTGTTCCTCCTAGTTTTAGTGATTTAACAGTGAGATGTCTAATTGAAAGTGGTTGGTAACTAGGAAGAGACAATGTCCAGATGCTGGGACAGCCCATCCTGAGGTGTGCTTTTGACAGGGTAGCAAAGGCTTTCTATTTTAATTGTTAGATCAGGTTTCCTAATAGGTCAAACAATTGTTTCAGTTCAGGATGACAACTCTATAATTAGAAAAAGATATTATTTCATTTCCCTGGGTTTTATTATTTTTAATAAGTTGCTTTTATATGGCACTTCTTAGCTGCAAATCTCAATGCCAGCTTTGCTTTAGGTAAGGCAAAACTGAGTGCCAGGTGGGCTTGGCAAGCAGAATTAGAGATTACCAGGAATGCAGGCACAGAAATCAACTGAGATTGCACACAGCCACATGCCACCTTGCAGTTAGACTAAAGCATTTGCTTTTCTAGCTCTGCAAACCACCCCTGGGAGCATGACTGCTGGCAGAGTGACGGGAGGTACAAAACTGTTTGATGGAGGGCTGCAATTCAGCAATGACAGTCCCCGAGACAGTGCCTCACAAGCTGGTGGGGAATAAGGCAGAAGTGATTTTAAAATATGGACAATTTAATAAATCTTCAACCCTTCCCCTTTTTGAGGTTATTTTTGAGGATATCAGCTGAGCCCTTCTGATCTGCTGCATTACATCAGACTTCTGCACTTGGGGCAAAAACTGGGCATTTACAAGTTACTGAAAGTCCTCTTTCAGCTTCAATACTGTGGTGATCAGCACCATAGAGGTGACAAATCTGTCCCACATACCTGGTGTTTAGAAAACTCTGGTACAACCACATAAAGCAAAGTTCTTCATGGCTGTTTTCTTCCTCTCTCCCCTGCACATCTGTGTTGACTGGGTCTGGAGAGCTGGTTTAGATAGATAAAGAAAATTAATAATAATTAAAAAAAAAAAAAAAACCAAAAACAAATAGTGCAACCACCACAGCTGTAAAGCAGCATTGCTGTCTGGAAGGCAAGTTCACACCCCCACCAACCTGCCCCGTGGTCCATCCTCTGTTAACCTGCCGACTCTTACCATAGCTGTGCCTCTACAGCTACAGAGACAGGCAACGTCGTCCCTTCATATCAGTGGCAGGGGCAGCAGCAGTTGTATCGCAGTGCACCACATGTTATAACTGATAATGTGCTCATTTTTGTGGCTTCAGTGGTAGCTACTGGCCTGTATTTCGGTGAGATGGAAGACCCCATATTGGCCATATACATGATTATGTCTAAAGCTTGCCCAGTTTGGCAGTCAGAGTCATGGGTGGGTACTATGAAACCCAGAGGTCTTCCTCATTCTGTTACAGAGCCCATTTATCTACAAACAGTTTCTCAGGTGCTTTATTTGAAGTAGGCAAATCATCTACAATTTCCCCCAAAAGGCTAAATCAAAATGCAAACAAAAAATCCCAGGCTGTGATCTGATGTAAAGTTTTGTACCCTATGGATTAAGCTTGATATGCATATGCAATAGATATGGTGTTTTATGCTTAGAAATGGCCTCAGTGAGAAGGTTTGTGAACTGCTCTGTTTGCTGTGACAGGCAGGGCAAGCTGATGGGGTATCTCTGCTATTGCACAGCAGGAGAGGAGGAGGAGACCTAGAAGGAGGAGACCAAGCCCCAGCCCACTTGCCCTTGTCTTGAGTTTTCCAAACCACTGGTCATGTCACTCCCCCTTCCTTGGAGCTGAGACCTGCCTCCCTGCAGCCTGCATGGCCCAAGCTGCCTTCCCATTCCTTAGGAAGCAGAGCTCTTACCTGCGCTTGCGGCCCATGAGATTTTGAATGAATTTCTGAACCTGAGCATTTCCTCTCATCTTGCTGTATTCACTGGTAAACAACCCATCTGAGTGCCTCTGGGACCTGCATCAGGGAAAATACAGTACAACGGCTGTTCCTCCCAGCCATGTGATGTGGGACATCACAAGACACAGCAATGTCTCTCTTCCCACCATCAAGGAGCCCTGTATCCCTCCCCTTCTCCTCTTCTGTCTCCTTTCATCTTGGGCATCTTCTGGATGAGGCCAGTGCTCAGGCTGGTTCTGGAGCTGCAGACTCAGCCCCATGGGCATCCCCCTCATTGCTGAGATCCCAACTCCCGCTGGAGACATCCATGCCCCAGGGGGTGGTTTTGGCTGGTCCTTACCTCTCCTTGAGGCCCACCAGGTGTTTGACTAGCTGCTGCACGTAGGCATTGCCATTCATCTTGCTGAGCTCACTGTGAAAGAGCCCATCAGCATGTCTCTCAGTCCTGGGAGGTTAGAAGAGAAAGAAGAGGTGAAAAGGCACAGTTTTAAAACCAGAGAAGAACAGGCATTTAAAACTGCTCCCTCAAGGAAAGAGGGTCCCAAACAAAGACGGGCAAGGATTTGTGCCAATTTGGCAAAATTTCACAAAAAAGGGCAAATCTTAGATGAGTTTAAAACACGTATCACAGAGAAAAACTACCTGCACTTGCTTCTTACTAATGTAATCACCTTACCATTAGGGTATGGGATTTTGAGGTTAACACTGATTCATCACAAAACAGTAGGACAAGAGACTGGAGAAGTAATGAATTCAATACCCAGATACACAAACCTTGAGGAACAGGTACATAATGGTGGTGGTACCAAGCAGCAGCACTTGCAGATGACTGATTGACAAGCCATTAAAAGAAGTGCTCAAAGCCTCAGTGAGGTTCAACCAGAGCTATTAAACTTCCAACCAGACTAGCCAGTGGGTAGGATAAAAGGTCTGGGGTCCAGCTTCTGAGGAGACCCTGTGTCTGTGTGTCTATGCCAGTACAGGGCTAGGGAAGCCAGGCCAGGCACTGGTTGTGGCCATGGAAGGGTTGCAAGGGAGTCTCAGCTCTGTCCTCTTCCAGCCTAAGTCCTTTAGTCTCTCTGCGTTAATTGTCCCTGTGTAAGCGGGAAGAGAGACAACCCTGCCGAATTCTTACATGCAAGATTGTGAACTGGTGAACTTATAAGATTGAGTATTTTTGGTTATGTTTTCATGGGACAAGGCTATTTGAAACAGAAGCTTCCACTTCTATCAGCCTGTGTAAGTACCCAGTGGGAAAACAGACTCAAGAGTGTCTTTTTTACTGTAGTTTGATCTGTTTGGGGTCCTGATTTTTCTCATGAATTAAGTCAAATCAATGTTTCCATTCTTAAGCAAGAAAAACTGTTACAACATTTGCACTCATTTAACTAAATCAATTCATGGAAGAAAAAATATCCAACAGCCAAGCAGAGGCAAGTTCTGGAAAGAAGATAAAAGGCTGACTTTGTAGCTTGCAGGCTCTTTGAACAAAAAGCCAGTGAGAAAAAGGAAGCAGAGGCACAAGAAATGCTTACCTCTCCCGGGATGGAAGAGATGCTGAGAAGTGTGATAGGACAAGCATAGGAATAACTAGTTGCCACAGACCAGTCATCAAGGAAACCATGTTCTCTCCTGAATTAAAGCACAAGGTTTTATGAGCAGCAGAACAAATGACTTTTTGGTCTTTGTCTGCTACAGTTCACATACCACACAGAAGACATCGCTACATAAATAACACCACTATAATTAAGTTAGGCAGGAATTCCTGCCAGCAAAAATAGTATTTCTATAAAATACAAAAGATGAGCAATTCAAATAATTTATGTTGCCAGTCAGTTGGAAGTTGTTTGCAGTTGTTATCCCACCACCAGACAGTCCCAGAGCATGGGTCTGAGGTTGGCTGTGTGCTGGAGTTTTGCGGTTAGTCAGTATAATAAGCCTTGAATACGCAGGGAGGTATCATGTGAGTTAATCCATCAGTGGGACAACACCATGGAATATACCCCATTCTACTATAAGTCTCTGAGAGCTGAGCCTTCATGGAGAGGATTTGAAGGACCCATGAAAACATCCCACCCAGAGAGCTATTAGTATACTTGGAGGATGCCCAGGAGAAATCTGTTTTTTTTTCAGACAGAAGAAACGGCATGTACCAAATCAAAGTTCATCTACACAGAGGAGAAGGGAAGGGCTCTTGTGTGTGCCAATATCTGCCTATCCTCTAATATTTTGAGAACGAAAAAAGAAATAACACACATTTTCAGTAACAGCAGAACCTCGTATTTTGTTTTCTTACTGAAAAAAAAAAGAAAAGCACATTTTCCCCTTTTATTTCCAGGCTCTTTTTGCAGCTCTATGCCTGCAGAGATTTATATGTGCCTTTATAAAAGGGTGCTCACATTTCGCCAAGGATTACCCAGGAGCCGTATCTGTAATTTATAACATACCTACCTTCCTTCTGCAAAGCAGCAAACCTAGCTCTCTTAGTGGCTGTCCTGGAAACTCTCAGATAGTACTTACTAACCCAAAATCAAAGTCATCCCACTTTGGATTTCTTTTAGTCTGAAACTAGACAGTACAAAGAGTATTAAAGGACTGTCAGAGTTTCCTGAACACTTTCTAGTCACCCTTCTGGGATTGTTTGCTACTTTAGAGATACTGCAAGACGAGAAGAGGCAAGGGGAGGAAGGGCAGGAGTGGGGGATTTATACAGTAATTTATTCACTGTAAGCCACAGCACAAATATTTAATGGGGGTTGCAGAGCAGAGGTGAGCAGTTTTGCATGATTAAGGAGCCATAAGCTTCATCTCACACACACTTCTGATTCTTTAGTGTTGTGTTTGCCTTCCTGATTTGGTTTTGAGAGGGATGGAATAAGTAAAACAAGAAGGACATTTCAAAGATCAGTTTCTTACTGAAGTCCAAACAAAACAGACTCCTCAGTACTGCTTCCCAGCCAAGGGGCATTGAAAGAGCTGAAAACAGCCACCAAAACCAGAGCACACCACCCTTCAGGGAAGGGAAACCTGGTTCCTGAGCCTGTCCTTCAGTCTGTACAATATCTGCTACACAATGTCAAGATCTCACCACAGCACTTTGGCCTCCCTGGTGCACCCAAAGGCTTTGCTGGATCAAGGCTCCCATCACCCTGCAGGAGCACTACTGCTAGGAGAGCTTCCTAAAAGGCTGGTACACAGACAGCTTGTGCACCTTCTTGCTCCTGCCCATCCGTTGTGCTCTACCTAAAACTAAAAACCGTGTATTTCTGGAAGCTATCTGGTCCAGCTGCTGTTTGGGCTCCATTCTTTCCTTTGGTTGCTTCAGGGGAGGAAAACCCCACCTATTACCAGCATTGCTGTTCAGGAGATGAATGGCCTCATGGCAATGGCTCAGCAAAGCACCACGGAGGACTGAAATCCACCACCCTAAAATAGAAAGAGGGGAGAAGGCAGCATGTCCAGCCTGACCATGTCAGCACAGCGGTACTCACCAAACTGTGGTCACTCCAGGCTCTCAGCTGTCTCACGGCTACGACGCACCACTGGCCCACTCCTCTCCTCAGCCCCCTATAAATCTGCAGCCCTTATCAGAAGCAATTATTTGGGTAAAGATATGAACATGAGTAATCATGAGTAGCAGCAAATAATGCATCCAGGTTGGAATGTCCTTTTAATTACTCTCTAAACCTGATCAGGTCATTCACAGCAGTTCAATGGACTGTATTTCTGCTGATGTGTAATAACTTCTGCTTCTGTGTATAATGACAGTAATTTGTTGGGCAAACATCCCTGTACCAATTGACTCATTATGATTGTCATCATTATCTCTCCTCCTGTCTTTAATTACCTCCTGATAGGAGCTTAATCTTCTGTTCTTTTTTAATTCTGGCTTGGGTTTTGTTTGCCAGGAAGAGTCAGTGAGTGTATATGCGTACCTGTAATTTGGCTAAACAACATGTCACTTTTTTAGGGCAAACAATGTCTAATCAATAGGACAAGGTCTGACTTTTGCATGAGGGGACAATACGTTTCAAGCTGTGTTTCACAGCCATGTCTGGGAAAGGTTGGCTGAGAACAGACTGTATCGCAGCTTCAAAGAAAGCAGCATACTTATACATGCATAGAAAACATCCTGAATATATTCCCTGCCTTTGCTGGGGTTTGGAGATAGTTAATCTCAAATACTGCTACTAAAGGTGACATGGAAATGGAGGGAGAAAATAAGATTACACCCTTTATTTCCTTCTTTATGTTGTATAAAGTAGCTTGGAAGGATTAATCATTATAAAGAAATCTTCTTATCTTCCAACTGGAGAAACAGGATCTATATTGCACATTTTCTTGTCTACTTACCTTTTTTTCTTTAGAAAACCAAAGGGCATCCCCATGACTAGAGGGCTGGGAGGGACCCGATTTTCCCCATCATCTTTCCCTTGGAAAAATAACCCATGCACTAATGAGCAGCAAGCTTCTGCACTACTGCATGTGACTGCAAGCTGCAGCTGGATGCCTGCAAAAGATAGGAGAAGAAACAGCAGGGACATTCCAGGTCCCATTCCAGGACTGGAGGACCGAGAGATGCCCTGGCCACCACTTGGACAGGGGAGCCCATTTCCTCCTTTGAGGCAGTGTGGGTCAGTCCTGCACACATCCAGGCATTTTCCAACCATCTTCCTCTTCTTTCTGTAATGACTGCTTTCTTTAGCTGCGTTTGTGCTGGCATTCCTCCTGCAACCCTCCCACCATCACTCTGATACAACTTGCTGTAGTTTTACAGCCTCATTCAATGCATTTCCTCTCTATACATGCAGCTGTGGATGTGTTGTGAGTTGCATCCTTCTCCGGTGGCAGCTGAAAACTCTTCTGGGCACCCAGCACTGCTTTGGGAACCCCCAGTGACACTAGTGATATCTGCAATTCTTGTATTTTTGTTCTTTGTATTTAAATCTTCATATTTTCTGTATTCGTATTTTATGGTGGCTGGCCTCAGGTTGGGCTCATGGTGTTGCCATACATCTACAATGGAGAAAGACCATGTAGAAACAAGGGAAGGAGGAAAAAAAGTTTATTAAAAAAAGGCTAAACAACATATAGGGAGCTAAAAATTACTAATGTGATTTCCTTTCCTCTGCAAATAACCTCAATGGCTCTCAAATGCCCCTAAGCTGTAGAGGAAACTCAGTCTGCTGTGAGAATCTAGACGGGTCTAGATAAGAGGCACGCAGAAGAGGCTGCAAGGACGAAGTGGCCCCATGATGGCAGCAGAGGGTGAGAAACAGGAGAGTAAAAACGTCTGGGAACTGGAGGAACGGGAAGTAACCTGATTTATCTACCTTGCAACAAAAAATGGGGTTTGCCTTGCAGCAATTAGTGGCACAGAGTGACAAGGTGATGGGGTAGAAAAACGTGTGGCCATGCCCAGCACTGCTGCAACATAATGCAGGGTTTGAACTTAAATGCAGCTTCTGAGGCCCCTGATGAGGGAATTCAGGATCATGTAAGGAAACTCAAAAGTTTTTGCAAGCTGAAATTTGTACCCGAATAAACTGGAGCCCAAATCAAATCCCTAGTCCTGAAACACCACCTGATTCTCCTTTAACCAGAATTAACATTAAACTTTCATCAGGAGACATTGTGGAAAAAGGAGTGATAAACAATACTGCTTAGCAATATCAGCTGAATGGAGCTTTGTGAACTTGCACCTTGCTTTTCCCATTCTCCATTTGTGTGAGCATTCAAAGTGGAAGCGGGGATTCCCTTTGCCTACATCCAGCAGGCACAAAGTGTGATTAAATCATCCATTAATCACTGTAATTTAACCCATCATCTCTGTGCAGCATTATTGCAGAGAAAAGCTCCCTGTCATTGACTCTAAGAATGACAAAGGAAAAGGAAAAGATTGCCCTCATCTGATCCCTGCTCCTTCTACAGCTGTCATACCCGAATCTGCAAGAAGTCAGGGCTGCCAGTAACTTACATGTTTATGGGACATAACGCAGTGTTTACAGAATGTATAGCAAAGTGCCGCAAACAGGTAACACGAAGGAGTGCTGAGGCCATGCATCAACACTCCCTGTGGAGGAAAAAGGGGTCCGTGAGACTTGCGGCCATCCCCGAGCAGGAGGCGAGCTGCCCTGAGTATGTTGCCAGGTGTAAAGCCATCAGGATCTTTGTGCAGTCGCTTGTGCTTAAGCTTGACACGGACTGACATGCACAGCGTGGAGAGACTTGTGGTGAGCTGCATTAAGTAAATCCAGTTGCCACGGATGCAAGGGCTAATCACAGCAGTCGCGCTGTTGGCTGGGGACACCCTCGTGCGCAGCAGTGAGCAAAGGTTACGAAACAGAGGAGACATCCCCACTTCAACATCAATCCTCTGCATTAAAGGGTACCTAATGGCTAGTGCCCACAAGCTGACCCACCCCAAAGGCATCAAAGCTGAGAGTGGCATAGAGGAAGAAGTTTTTTCTCCTCTTTACAGTGGGAGGGAAGAGTCACCAAACCTGCAGTGTGAAATGCAGCATCTTATAACTATGTTAAATGTATTAGCCACAAATTTGACAATATTTAAGGAGAGCACATGAGCCTGGCCTTTTTCTCTGCTGGAGGAAAAGACATAAGAAACTG